CATGAACACCAGATTCATGGGCCGCGGGTATAATAGGCAGGGGAAGGCAATGCCTTCCCAAACAGTCAGGAATAGTCCTGCCCACACTCTGCCCCAGAATACCTACTGCTGCAGCAGGGCCCCCACTGGGAGCTATGCTGAAGCAGTAGGCAGAGTCGTGCTGCCCCCAGGCTTCAACCACTGGGGCATTGCACCCTCCATGTGCTCTGGGGTCTGGGAAGCTCGGGTCATGCACTGCCCACCCTTCCTGTGATGCTTTGGAACTGAGGAAGCTCCCCTGGGGGGAAGGAGGGAGCTGAAGGTTTTCCTCTGTTGTGTGGGGAGCTTGGGTTCCATGGAGGGGATTAGGGCCTTGGGCAGAAGGGGAAGGGCTGGGGGCTTGCCTACCCCAGTCCTATGTTCACCCACTACCATGAACAGATTGCAGTTTCTATCCGTGATTCCTGAACGCAGGCTAACAACTGGGGTGCCTACTAACAATCCCAGCCTATATTTGTAACTAAGGTTATTTTCTTTGCTCTTTAAAGCTGCTATGTAGAAAACATCTGTACGTACCGGGGTGGGCAATAAGCTAGTAGCGGCTCATCAGGGTTAGTTGTTGGTGGGCCACTGTCATTTTATTACCTGCTCCTCCACAGATACAGCCCCTTGTAGCTCCTGTGGGCTATGAATGGCTGTTCCTGGTCAATAGGAGCTGCAGGAAGAGGTGTCAGACTGTGCCCCATCCCACAGCATCCATGGGATAGGAATGGTGATCTGTGGCCAACAGGAACTTCAAGCAGCCATGCCTGTGGAGGCACAGGTCAATAAAGCACTAGCAACCCACCAGGGGCTAACCCTGGTGAACCATGTCTGGCCTATAAGCCAGTTATTATCCACCACTGATCTATACAGAAAATAGCTACTTGAGAAAAAATATATTGGTCTTTCAGGGTGTGTCTAAACTATATGGCTCCGTCGATGGCTCCATGTAGAGTAGGCTGATTGGCAAAGGGAAATGATGTAAATGACTGCCGCACGGAGCCGACAAACAGCTGATCAGTGTCATGGGAGCTTAGGTCTGAGGTCTTGGTTAATGCAATTGCAGTATAGTTGCATGGGGGCTCCTATAAGGCTCAAACCCATCCCTATTGGTAGAGGACAGTGGGAGGAGATCTTAGAGAAGTCACATGACACGCTTCACTCCTGGGCATGTGTCCATCTTGAGTACGAAGGACTACTTCTGGGTGTCAGGGGGTGACTTGCAAGTGTCAGGGGTATGGCTAATGGGTGTGGCTAATATGTACCCATTTTTGGTTCAGAAAATATGGTCACTGTATATTTAGTATGAAAGATTCCTCCTGTGCATGGAACATTCCTTCACTCCTGGAGCACACACTATATTCTGACATCTCCACGAGGAGTAACGGTAGTTTGAATTAGAGATCCTAATTCGAACTACCTACTCCATGCCATGTGTAGCTGTGGGCACGGAGTTCGGACTAAGGGACATTGAAAAATGGCAGCGCCCGGGAAAATGCAAATGAAGCCCAGGATATTAATATCCCGGGCTTCATTTGCAACTTCGAATGCCTACATCAGCCTCCCTAGTTCGAACTAGGGGGCTAGCGTAGACATACCCCTAGTTCCAGCCCATGCATCTCAGTACCCTCCCCTTCCCTATCTCCTTTCCCTCCATCCAACCCAGTACCACCCCCACCCCAGCTACACTCAACTCACTGGAGGAGCAGGCTGAGAGGTTGGAGGGGCCGAGGGTTGGTCCCAGGGGGTTGAGCGTCCATCTTAGGGGGTGAGAGGCTTCCCCTGGTGGCAGAGTGAGACCCCGGCGGGGGGGGGGGGGGGGGGGCCAGGGGTCCTGCAGAGATGAGACAAGGGCATTACGGTGTTGATGGGAGCCTGTGGCCAAAGTCTGTGGGCAGGGTTGGAGAGAGAGAAGGAAGGGTGGGGGCAGGGCATCTGGGTTCTCTTCCTCCTAGTACCACCAGGGCTTGAATCCAGCAGGAGTCCTGACTCCCAGCCCCCCTGCTCTAACCACTAGACCCCACTCCGTTCCCAGAGCCAGAAAGAACCCAGGAGTCCTCACACCACCAACCCCTCCCCACCCCACACACTTTCAGTGCCGCATCATGCTCCACAGGGATGTCTCACCACACCTGGGATGCGGCCAGCTCTGGGGTACAGCAGCTGTGGAACAGGCTGCCACACATTTAGGGCAGGAAGGGGACCCTGTCCCTAAATGGGCTGCCTCACAGAAGGTGGAGTAACATGTCCATGGGGGCTGGGATTGGCTAGGGCCTGTGGCATCACAGCCTGATAGACAAGGAGCCAGGGAAGATCCCCAGAGATTGGGGGGAGGGCGGGGGAAAGTCTCCAGGAAATTTGCTCCAGGACCAGGGAAGATCCACATTTAGGGCAGGAAGGGGACCCTGTCCCTAAATGGGCTGCCTCACAGAAGGTGGAGTAACATGTCCATGGGGGCTGGGATTGGCTAGGGCCTGTGGCATCACAGCCTGATAGACAAGGAGCCAGGGAAGATCCCCAGAGATTGGGGGGAGGGCGGGGGAAAGTCTCCAGGAAATTTGCTCCAGGACCAGGGAAGATCAGCCCCGAATAGAAAGACAGCCAACATTCGCAATTAGTGATTAGCTGATCATATACATAGTAGCCCAATGTCTGTGACTCTGTAATGCTGAAATGCTGGCTGTTCCCTCTGGGCGGCGCTGTTGCCTCCCGCCGTGGCGCTTGGCTGACTTCTGCGCCGCTCAGCCAGTCCACCATGTGGGAGCAAGCGAGTGCTGCATGGGGAGCACGGGGCCCAAACAGCCGCTTGTGCCGCTTGCTCCCGCACAGTGGCCCAAATGAGCAGCTCAGAAGTCAGCCAAGTGCCATAGCAGGAGGCAACAGTGCCACCCAGAATGAACAGCCAGGGGGGTGGGGCCTGGATAAGCGTGCGTCTCTGATGTCGGGAAAGGGCGTTGGATTCAAAAGGAGGAAAGCAGAGCAGACACAGAGGATGCAGAGGAGACAGAGAGGCGAACGGAGGAGGTGGAGGACAGCGAGAGATTGAGTGAGAAAGACGCAGCAGGAGGAGGTTGTGGAACATTGTGAAAGGTGATTCCACCACCATAGCTCTGAGTTTACCAATTCTTCTCACGAAGTGTCAGCAGCAAGAAAGACGACTTTCATGGAAAGGAGGGACACAGAGCACAACATTAATGGCTCAAAAAAAGGGCTTTGTTAAAACCGAGAGAACGAGACTGATGTTCCATTGAATCTGTATATTCTATTTTTGTGCACACATCAGTTAGAAATATGAAGCGTAAATCCGGTTTTAACTCTGAATGTGTTAATTAAGGCCATTAGGGATACTTTAGGAACATAATGGCTCAGCACTCAAACCAATGACCTGTGAATAGGGATGTTTCGGGGAGCAGCTCTCCCTCCTCAGGGGCCATGAACAGGAGCTGTAGCCATGGCCTTGAAGAAGGCATCCTCCACATCTACTACAGACTGGAAGGTAGTTCTGGCAATGAGCTTCCAGTCACATAAACAACCATATTTTTAGGGAAAGTTATATAAGCAAATTCCTTGACTTCACTGTTAGAGAAGAAACAGGTGACCCAGGAGCAGATGGGGTAAACAGAACCAATTTATTGCACCCACACAATAAAGCGATTCCGTTTACCCCATCTGCTCCTGAGTTGCCTGTTTCTTCTCTAACATCTGGTGTCACAAACAGGATACAAAAGAATAACAGAGGATAGAGAAAAGGAAAAACTATGCAGCACTTTAAAGACTAACAAGATGGTTTAATAGGTGATGAGCTTTCATGGGCCTGACCCACTTCCTCAGATCACACACTCCCAGAGCTGGGAACCAAACCCAGGAGTCCTGGCTCTTCCCTCCCCTCCCCCAGCCAAGGAGAGACCCCCACAGTCCTAACTCCCACCCAGATCCCTCCTACAGCCAAAGACAGAACCCAGGAGTCCTGGGTCCCAACCCATCCCTCAACACACTAGACCCCAGTGCCCTCAACCAGCTCCTGGCTCCGACGTAGCCAATTCCCCAGCCAGGGGTGGAGCTAAGGACGGGGTGGAGCCGCATAGCCCCGCCTCTATAGGCCATGCTATAAAAGTGCGGGGGCCCCACTGCTTGTGCCTTTCTCAGAGTGTGGGGGATTGGGGCTGGCTGCCTTGGGAAAGGGGCAGGCTAGGTTTTGGAGGTCTTGTCCCCTCAATACTGGGGGGGCTGGGAGTTACCAGGCCAGGTTCTTCCTCCCCCTACTTCTGTGGGGGCCTGTGTGGTTCTGGCCATGTGGGGCCCAGCATGGGGGGGGGGGGGGGGAAAAGCCTGTGCCGTTTGGTAGAGGTAGAGCTGGGGGAGGGGGCTGGCTTAACTTCATAGCCCAGCTGGGTTCCCTGGCTGTGTCTCCATAGTCCAGCTAGACTCCTGGTCTAATGGCTGCCACTGTGGTCTCTGTCCCTGG